GAAACCTGGATCTCATTATTCTCAACATGTTTTCTTATTTGCTCAACTCTCCGGAATCTAAAGAATCTCCCATCCACACTGGACTACTCTTCACTCTGACGGTTTGCTGGCCTGGCCCCTGACTGTCACTTTTCTGTCTTTCCAGCAGGAAGGAAAGAGAAAAGGAAGCACATTACTGTTTTTTGAAAGATTGTGTTTTTCCTTTCCTTTATAAGGAAGAATTACAATACTATTATTTAATGTTTCTGGCTCAAATCAGTTCTATTTGTGTCTACATTTGTGACTATATCCATATCAAGATGAACTCATAGGGAGATATAATTCTTGAATATAAATCAATATGCAAACCCGCATATTTATGGAGTTGGAAATTTGAAGTTTCATAGCATCTAGGATTTATTACTGAATTCCTTTAAGTAGTCAATAAGTAAAGAACAACATTTAGGGTAAACCAGTCGATATTGTCACATTCAAATATTATCTGTTATTGACTTAGTGACTAAGCTGTCTGTCAGTTAAGAAGACTTCAAATGCAATAAAATACTTAGTGGCCATAGGCATTTGGATGGAGTTAAACTGTGGGGTAGTAGTTAACAGATCAATATTTATATGCAGCCAGGTTCAAGTACCCATTAAGCATCTACCAGGTTGTTACTTAGGGCAAATTATTTGACCTCTAGAAGTCTTAATTTCTTTATCCTACAGCAACTACATTATAGGACTGTAGTAAATTTTGAGTGATATACCACAGGATGAAAAACACCCAGGCACAACACTTGGCACATAGTAAGTGCACATATTAGGTAATAGCCTTTATGATAATCATTGGCGTATTTAGACTTTTAACTATTATACTATGACTCTTAGTAATAGGTGAAGGGCTTGGCTTATTAGAATTCTAAATAAATATTATTTTTTAATTCTATATCTTGTCATTTTCAGTAGATACAACATGATGAACATCATGTAAATGCACAGCAAGATAGTTTGCACAGGGCAATGTCTGTGAAATATTTTAAAGGAATATCATGATAAGCATTTTTCATTTTTCCAGTCAATATGAGGAAAATATAATATCAGTTTATATGGAAACAGTGAATGATGTCACTGTAAAATTTACTAAATCTGTCAAAATGTACATTTTGATTAGAGGATACTCTTGAATCTGAAGTCCTTATAAATTTTTTTCATAAAGCAACCCAAATATTTTTATTTTACTGGTATGAAGCATGCATAAAAATAGAGGACATGTTGGGAGTCTCCAGAGATTTAACTGAATTTCTTTGATCATTTCTATAAAAGCTGAATCTTTAGCAGTTAGCATCAATTGCCCCTCTATAGACTAGAGTTAAATTCTATTTCTGCTTTAGCAACAGATGATGAGGTGGAAGGAAATACTAGAGAAATGGATGGCTTGTTACATATATAGAGCAGAGATTTATGGTCCCATTTACATGTGACTGCCAAGGATGACTTCTAAGTCTTTTTAAACAGTTATTTGAAGCATACTTTCTCCATGTTTCTTTCATTGATTATTCTGTTTTCATATTATTGCTGGTGTAGATAACTCATATAGGGAGTACTGTAGAAAATACACCAAAGAACTTGAAAATAAGGTAAACAAGATTCTCTTATGACTTAAAAAGACATAAAAGAGTAAATCAGCCAGAAATATGCACTACCACATTTAAAAAAAAATACAAAGTCTTCCAAGACAAGACTGAGCTGTCAGAAATATGAACACATTTTTTAAAAGGCTGTCTCAAACAGGCAGAGTAGGGACTTAAGCAGTGGAATTGAGTATTAGGTCTTATATATTGAGGAAGATAGCCACAAATCAGCTCCTGGGGGATGCTATTTAAGATGTATTTGTTTAGAGCAAAGCAAAATCTCTAGTCCCAAAACACATTCTGAATATTCTTTTGCTCCAGATTTTCTTAGAGGGAGATAGAATCTTTATCACTAACTTGGCCACAAGCATTCTGGCTCCTGTGACAGCTGCTGGTCTTGTTCTAATGGGAACCAATTAGTACTGGGCTTTAGACAAACATCTCAGTGAAATACTTAATGTGACTCAGCGTCTGAGAGATGAATCTGTGAATACAGAGTCTGCAGGACTATAGGCCAGTCCTGGCTCATAGCCAGTTCACCAAGGCCCTGTGCCTCTCTGATGCTTCTTGGCAGGTAGCCAGTCAGCTCTCCCTGAGGTCCACAATCTTACTACATACTCTCCATTTAAACTTCTTCAGCAAGTAACAAAAATCCTTAGAACACTGCTGATGATTTTTTCTCTTCATTCAGAGACAGTAGGCTAAGAAAGAGGTCAAGGAAGAAGAGTGGCCCACAAGAAATGAAGCCAAGTGGAAGAATAGGCTATAGTAGACTTTAGAAATGAGTGTGGAGGGACTATTGGTAGACAGGGTATATGGGGAAAACTGGGGATCCAGAGAAGAAAAGAAGTAGGCTGCACAAAGAGCAGATGTGTTAGCTGTTTTAATATTGACCAGATTTTCACATGTCTTGAGAGAATACCTTTCCAGGTCTTTAGTAATAATAATAGTTGATTTCAAAATTGTTTTGCAAGACACATATTTTTCTCTATTTCTATGGATGACCAAACTGAAGTTCAGAGAGGTGAAGTAACTTGCAATGTCACATGAGTTAATAACTCAGTGGTGGGGCCAGGTTTTACATCCAAGCCCAGTGCGTTCACCATTATGCCATGCTTCCTTCCATATGGTTTATCCACCAGTAATACTATTTTACTATCACTACTAATATGATTTATTCATTCATTTTTCAAATATTTGTGTTGTTTTCTTTTTATCCGTAGGACTCTGCTTGACAGGCTTATCCCATATTTATTGAGTGAAACCTATATGCTAGACATGTGGCTAGACATTGGGGCATAGCTGTGAGCTTAAACATGGAGAGTAGAGTCTAGTTTGGTGGTTAAACATTAATCAAATAATTGTATTAATTTTATATTACTAGATTATGAAGTGCTAAAAAGATAGGTCCAGAGAACACTAAGTGCTTATACTTGGGGACTTGATCAGTGAAATTAGGGAAGATTATTTAAGAAACACCTGAACTGAGACTTGAAGGGAAATACTCCACTGAATGAAGTAGGGAGGAAAATAATCAAGTGCAAGACCCTGTTTAGGCAGGAAACTACGGAAAGCATGTGAAAGACTCTTATGGCTACAGTGGAGAGGATAAATGCTACAGTGTGCCAGATGGTGTTGGAAAGCAAACAGGGAGAGACCATGCAGGGCCTCATATACTCCATGAGGGTTTCACCCAAGGGCTCCATGAACCAGGACCAGGTTTGTTGAGAAAGATTGTGAGTTCAATTCCACGTGTGTTGGCATTTAGCCTTCTTTTTACTACCCAGAACCACAATGTTTAATGACTGTGTAAAAAAACAAACCAAAAAAAAAAAAAAAAAGAAAAAAAATAGAATCCACAGAGAATTGAAAATAAATTGGAGAATTTTTGTCATAAAAGCCAAGGTAGGAAAGTTTCCAAAACAGAGGAGTGGTCGGTTGTTCTAAATGCTGCCAGGATATCAAAGAAAGTGAAGACTAAAAATGTATGTTCAGTTTAGCAACTTTGGGGCCATTGCTGGTCTTAATGGTATACCTGTCATTTGAATAGTATATTTTCTTTCTTAATTTTGCTATACTCCTACATTCAGTGTTAAGTGATAATAAAATAATAATAGACTTCCAGAAATTACTGGAGGTCAAGGCACAGATATGTATAGGAATTCTTACATAGCTCTTTCTTTTATGTGTCAATTTATATATATATATATATATATATATATATAAATATATATATATATCAATCACATACATCCATACACACAGCATATAGTTTTTCATAATTTCTTAAAATCTTAATGAACTCTTCAGAATGTCTAGACCTGTTGGTTAAATATCAATTTTTCTTGTATCAATGATTATACTTTTTGTTTTCAAAATCAAGATATAGAATGAAAGCAAAATATTAATTAAAAATTGAGTCAAAAATATACTGAACTTTTCTTTCACATATTAATATTCTCTATATGTGTTTTTAAAGTAATAAGTATTTAGAGATCACTTGTCATGGCCCAGACCAAGTACTAGAAATAGGACTCTAAGTAAGGCGAATGATATGTCTACAAAGAATATAGTCCAGTGTGCAGTACTGTATTGGCTTGCCTCCTGTGTCTTTGTGGTTTATGCTGTGAATTTTTAAAATATGTGATAGTTTGGATCAAATATATGTAGATTTCAAAGAAGCTGCATCAAGAAAATGTATCTTAAAATGTTTACCTATGCATAAAAGAAAGAAAGAATGCATGAAATAAGAGTAGACTATCAAAAGAGTATCAAAAAGCCTTTTGTTCAGTGCTTTTCATTTAATTAGACTTATTTTTACATGTTAACCACATATACAATATAAAAGGTAGTTGTAAGAATGAGAAATTGTTCTTGATCTTTGGTAATTAAGTCACTATAATGACATTTGAAGCTTAGAACAAATTTATTTATTTTTACTCAGATTTTGAATTTTTAGGATATATGTTGTAGGATTTTTATGGAAAAAGGAATTTTAGGTATGGTTTCAATGATCATATTATTTTTACAAAAACATAATTTGGCCAGATTCCTCTAAAATAGCACAATTAATTGGATCTTTTCAGACCTTTTGCCCCAAATATATAATCGACTATTGGTAATGACAAGCTTTCAAATTTAGAAAAGTCAAAGGAATCTGATTTAATAGCTCACTCCCACTTGGATTATATATGAAAAATAGCAAAATTCTCCTAGAGATAGGCAGTCCTGTAACATCCCAGTCATAAAAAAAAAAAAAAAAAAAAGAGTACTTACTTTGGTAGAAAACTTGGAATAAACTGTTTTTTTCTTATACTGTAGAACTTCCACTTTGATGAGTCACTGTTGACTACAATGGCTATTTCTTTATATTTTCTTGTTTACTATCAGGGCACATTCGGAAAATGAAGGTACCTCTTTACCAGCTGCTGACTCCTGTACCAGTCCTACAAAGATGGATTTATCATATAGTAAAACTGCTAAGCAGTGCCTGGAGGAGATATCTGGTAAGTGACCTGATTAATGGGTAGGTCAAACCTCAGAATTTTTATAACCTCTCTGTAAGTCTTTTTATTAAATCATATTTGTGCTGTATTGTTTTTATGCAAAAATGAACAGTATATATCTCATGCTTCAGAGATTTTTAGATATTCGACTTTTTCTGCTTACTATGATCTCTTTGTTACTCTGAAAAGAATGGTAATGCTTTCAAAAGCTGAGACTGTAAGTCATTTTGCCCTTAGTCAAGTTTAACATAATCAGAGAAAACCTGGAGAATCATCTGTTTCTAAAAATGCAGCCCTTAGGTACATTTGGAGATTGAAAGTATTCTAAATATTATCAATGTAAATTTCCCTTGGCTAATCCAACCCTGTTTTGTCTTCAATTCTGTACTATTTAGAACATTGTTATATGGTGGCTCTAAATGTGCATCCTGGAAATAAACCTAATTAGGAAAATATTTTATTATATATAGATAATATAGGAAAAAAGCATATATACCCAAGACACAGTTTATCAGCTTTTTGAGTGTATAAAATAACATTCTCAGCTTAAGAGCAATGTTTTTTCTAAGATCCAGTTAAGCCTAAGCCAATGGAAAGCCTTTGGTGTAATTTCATCATATGTAGATCGATTTTTATGAGGAACCAAGTACTTCTTAGCAAAATATACTACTCCTAAGGGGAGATAGAGTTAAATATTTTGTCTGCTTCTACATATAATAATGCATGGAAGTAGAGGTCTGTCTGTTATTCCAATAAATATCTGGCTCAGACTTAATGTCTTCATAGCTAAATCCAAAGGAAAAAAAAACTAAAGGAACTATTTCATTTTTTAAAAATACTATAGTACTCCAAGGACTCAAAGTATGAGTATTGCTCTGAAGCTCATGAAAGTAATCATAATACAAATTTGTGGGTTAAGAATCTTCCCAATTGCAGCAGACCTGAAACACATTTTGGCAAGCATTAGACAAATATCCTCCAGTGGATATTGACAATAATGACAGAACAACATCCCAGTGGTACCTTTTGGAATTGATATTAGTGATATAATTAGGTATCAGAGGTTTCATGTGGAGATTACAACTAATGCCAAGACATCAATATGGGGATGGCAATTGTAGATTTCGCAAATACTTGAGGGAAATGTTGGCTCTCCTGTAGCTCTCGGTAGTACCATGGTCAGAATGATGCTGTGTATCTGTATTGTGACCAGATGTTTTATAAACCTAGCATGGCATGAAGAAGTGTATGCTTCACATATTTCTTTATACATTAACATCTTCAATATCCTTATAAAGTACTAGAGCTAAAATATGTAGGAGAAATGAATTTAATAGCATTTAGGTTGTAATTTTTATGTGAATTTCACAATGCAACATTGTTTTCTGGAATTAATATATCACCAAGTATCTGATTAAATAAATAATCCATATTTTATTTTTTATCTACTTATTATGTACCATTTGATAATTTTTTCATATTTCCAGTTAATATTTCCATTTAATGTTCTGGTGCTTTTAATAGAACACTTGATAGTGAAATATAAACTAGAATTTAATGTAATATAATTATTTAATGGATTTATTAGAAAGCATAATATTATTTGCAGCAGTAATTAATTGCTTAGATAGAATCATAGATTTGAGTCTATGATTTAGGTAGGAAAATAATAAAAGAGAAAAAATAAATAAATGGTGAATGAGGCTTTCTAATTGTGTCATTCTAACTATCATCTGTTTAAAATTAGGCTGTAGCTGGATAGTGACAGTGTCTCTCCACACAAGCTTGAGATTTCATGGATGAAAGATGATATTTATTTATTGTTAGTAAGTTATAAATTGAATACTATAACTGAAGAAATGTAGATGAGGATATACTAGTTATCCAGTGATGAGAAGATGATTATCAGAGAACAAAGAGTTGCATATCTTCATCATTTTTTAAATTTTGGCTTCTGGATCATCATCACTCTATTAGAATTTCTGCCTTAATTTTTGGAGATATTAATACGTAGGTGATCCTTACAACACCATGGCCCCACTTCCAATGATTTTGTCTTGCTGTCCCTCTTGAGCTACTTATTGTCATGTTCATTCCCTAGCTCTGGGCATCATTGGAAACTGCAACTTCTCTGTGACCTCATTGTCATGCACCCCACTCCTGCTGATTACAACCTTGTATCTTTTCAGTATTCCTCCTTTTGTTCCCTGATTTTACCAGTAGTTCCTCTAGGATTTCCAATTGACTGATCCTGCCATTTCTTACTGTTTTCACCAAACTCTGCATATTTTTCATCCCTCCTTAAAAAGCTAAATTCCTATAATAACTGAATGTAATTTTACTCTTATATATACCCTTAACTCCCTTGCTTGTCTCTCATTTCATTGTACTCATTTGATAAAATCACAGACATGGTTATGTTTATGTCTTTACTTCTTCCATACCAACAATGAATGAACCAGGAGAAAAAAAAACATCACAGGTTGATGTGACTCACTTTACATTCATCACCACCAACTTCAAGTGAATATTTAATGCTCCCGGCAATCATTCTATATTTCTGTGGTCCATTTACTCTCTAAGATTCTTAGGTGAGCTGGGCGTGGTGGTGCGTGCCTGTAGTCCCAGCTACTCAGGAGGCTGAGACAGGAGGAAAGCTTGAGTCCAGGAGTTCTGGGCTGTAGTGCACTATGCCAATTGGGTGTCTGCACTAAGTTTGGCATCACTATGGTGACCTTCTGGGAGCAGGGGACCACCAGATTGTCTAAGCAGGGATGAACCGGCCCAGGTCAGAAATGGATCAGGTCAAAATTCCCATACTGATCAAATTCTTAGGTGAAAATGTTATACCTTTTCTTCTCAAAACTACAGTATCACCTGTCCCATCCTTTGTCTTCACTGATGACTTTGATATATGCTTCACTGAAAAAATTAAAGCACAGAGAAAACAAGTTCACAAATTCCTTTTATCACATCTACTATACCCACTTAATACCTATTTATAATACCTACTTATACCCACTTAATACCTATTTACTCTGCCTTTACTTGGATTACTCTTTTTCTCATCTTTAATAGCTCCCTCTCCACCAAATCATTCTCTTTAGCCCATGAGTTGTTATCATCTCTCCAACCTTATTTGTTTAAAATAACAACTTCTCTTGCCCCCAAACTTGTCCTCCAAGTACTGCTGTCATTTATCTCTTTCCCTCATGGTACACTCTAACAAAGAATAGCCTTCAATCACAGTCTCCTGGGCTGTTAGCCCCTTTTCTTTACTGAAGCTGCTCTTATTAAAGTTACCATTAACATCAACATGCCAAATCCAATGATCAAGTCTCAGCCCTCATCTTATTTCACCTCTTAACAGCAATTTGTCCTCTTCTAAGGAAGTTTCTTCCTTAATGTTATGATTTGAATATGGTTTGTTTGGCCCTACCAAGATTCATGTTGAAATTTGATCACAAATGTTGGAGGTGTGGCCTGGTGGGAGTATTTTGGGGTTTTGGGTGTAGATCTCTCATGAATACCTTGGTGCTATTCTTGTAGGAGTGAGTGAGTTCTCTAATTTCCATAAGAATTGGTTATTGAAATAGGTTGGCACCTCCTCCTCTTTCTCTCTTGCTTCCACTGTCCCTCTGTGATGTCTACACAATAGCAACCCTTCACCTTTCACCTTTAGTGGAAGCAGCCTGAAGCCCTCACCACAAGCAGATGCTGGTGCCATGTTTCTTATATAGCCTGCAGAACCAGGAGCCAGATAAATCTCTTTTATTTATAAATTGTCCAGCCTCAGATATTCCTTTATAGAAACATAAATGGACTAAGACACTTAATTTTCAGGGAACTATATTCCCTTGGTTTTCCTCAAACCTCAGTTTGTTTCTTCTGGTCTACTTTTCTAGTTATATATTTTCTCCATGATTTCTTATAATTGAAATGAACCAGATTTCTGTCCCTAGAGTTCTCTACCTATAAGTGTTCCCTTGGCGATTTGATACTATCTCACAGCTTTATTCATCTATATGCTGATGGCTTACAAATGTCTCTCACTACTTTAGTCCTCTATTCTGCATTCTGACTTACATATCTAACTGGCTACACAAACTCTCCACTTGAATATCTCATAGACACTTCCAACCTATTATATTCAAAACTACACCGCTGATATTACTCTCAAAATATGTACCTTTCAAAAGCTTTTCACCCAAGACTTCTCCATTTTGGCTAATGATAATTCCACCCTTCCAGTTGCTTAAGTCTGAAATTGTAGAATATTTGCGAGTCCTTATTTTCCCTCACACCTGATGTCCAATCCATTAAAATATTTTGTTGGTACTATAGGTACTGTTGACTATCTGAATTCAGAAACAAGTAGTATATATGAATCAACTTTTTGAGATATTTCTCAGTATTTGAACTCTTGCTATTTTCTCTCATAGATTCAGAAACTAAATAAATCCAGATGATACAATATCTAACTCACCATAAGGACTAAGGTACTAAGTAGACTAAGATAGCCTAGAATTATTGCATTTTCAAAATATATCCAGAATTTAGTCAGTTCTCTTTATCTCTACTTTTGTTTGTTTTATTAACTGGTATATCCCCAATGTATGGTTGGTAAATAGTTGCCATTCAATAAATGTGTGTAAAATGAAGTTAATATAATTGATAGAGCATAGAAATGAAAATCACAATGAAGAAGGAGCTTAATAATTTTTAGGTGGAAAAATAGACAGAAATGATACCTTTGGCTTTGGAAGGCATTCAGAAAGTAATCATGGTGAACTTAGGGTGAATAAAATTCAACTGAGTGGAATGCAAAATAAAATATAATTTTGGTTATACTATGGCTGCATAATCAAAAATATTAGGAAGAAAAGCTTTCATCATTCTATAGAAGATGAGTTGGGATTTTAAAAGAGCACATTTAAAAAACAGAAGAAAGAATAGGGATAAATGTACAACACAAGTTGATCATCTCTAAATAATTCAGA